GTCAGTGTATTGTCTGTTGTAAACATTCTCCTGGCCGCTAAAAATGAAGGCATCGACTTTTCGAAGTCCCACAAAAAAATTCTCGTGGCAAAACTTAATATAACCTGCATATCATTGGAAAGGCTATTAGTAGAGGATTCATTATGTGCTAGTTTCATTTTTTCACAGGACATGGTTTGGCCACGTTAACCTTTCAAAGTTTGCTTATATCAGCTTGTATTATGTTAAGTCCGGAGATTTTCAAAGTCCCATAAAAAAATTCTCGGGGCAAAACTTAATATACGCTGGACATCGTTGAAGGGGCTATTAATAGAGAATTCATTATGTGCTAGTTTCATTTTTTCACAGGACATGGTTTGGACACAGTAGCTACGGAAAGTTTCGCCTTGTCAACCTCATTTATGACATAGAGTGAAAATGTTTTGCTTTCGAATATTGATTAATTTACACAACGTCATATTTTGTTTATAGTAATTTGCAAAACACTTCTCGAAAAGTTCTATTTTTGTATTTTGAGTTAAATCCATCCGATACTTCGTTAAACAGAATTCTGCTAAGGCAAAAAAATTTTAGTTTGTTATAGCTTTACTAGTTATATTCAAATATAACTTCACACCCTTCTATCCCTCCATATATAGTTCACAAAAATCACCTGCCAAAGTCTTAGATATAGAAAAATGTAGCTAGAGTTTAAGCGTTAACTATCGAACAATCGTGAATGTCCCAAATCTCCACAATTTAGAAGTTCCCATACCACAATTCGTATTCCTTCAGAATTCATTTACAAAATATTTTCACCGAATTTATCATATATATATATTGATTACCATCACTTAATCTCAAATTACAACATTTTCCATTTGGCTAAGCCGACTCGGTGATGGAATCGTAAGGACTTCATGCTTCAAAGGAAAACGTAACATAAACACATATATTCTCATAGGAAAACACACATTGACAGTTGCTGGCTAGCTCTTTGTTTCTCTCGCCTACTAGAGACCAAAAAGTAACTGACACCGACCCAGCATCCTAATTACTGCTGAAAGGGAAACTAAATAGCAGCGAAGTAAGAGCAGCGGACGAAAATGCAAAATCTTACGAATATCGTTTCAAGAAAAATGAGGAGACCTCTAAAGAAACCTCCCACATAACATATTTATAACATCTTTCTATCTATCTGCTAGTCTGCTATTTATAATACTTTCGCTGGAAGAATTATTAGTTTGCAAATTTTTTCTGATTTTTTGCCAGCATCACGTAAATTAATTTCAGCAATATTCAGAAACTGGAATCAAAATACCTATGAAGAAGACGAGAAAATCCTTTAAGAAGTAATACGTAAGGATTTTATTCAAACAAAAACAAAAAATATTCTGAAGGAAAACATGACGAGTGTACGAAATGTTCGCATTACGAACGTTAGCAGTTGTAGTAATATTTGCAAGCAATAGAGTGTAGCAAATGAGGTTTGAAATCTATTCTAATTACTTCAGTCTGCGAATTGTATGTCAAAAAATTTATATTTGTTTCATCTTTTTTTCAGTTCCTTGTCAAAACGACAAAACGCAAACCGGAATTGAACAGTTGATCATAGCAATTTTTTGAAGACTACTAAAATGAAAAGTGTTTAAAAACCTTTTGGATAAAACTCTGTTAAGTTTTATTTTCTCTTTGGTTATCTATTTTGAAGAAGTATAAAGAAACCCTTCGAACGCGTTATAATTTTTAACTTTTGCTCAAAACCTTTTTCTCTTCGATTATTAAACAACTTGCATACATAAAAAATTGACATTATTTCGGCTATTAAATTGTGTATACAAAGAATAGATGGTGTTAAACTTACCCTGTTCTTGAATTAAACCGGCAGCTCGAAGGTCTAATCCAAGAAGGGGTTTTGTCATAGATGTCTGTGTTGGATGGCAGCGACGACGGCATTATTCGCAGCTACAGGCGATGGTGAAGATGATTTACTATGGCGTGGCGTTGTGGTAGCAGTTGCTGTTGTGTTGGCCGAACTAACTGAAGGTGAAGATTTGGGACGTATAGGTGGTGGTGGAGGGGGTGCCCGCCGCATTCGCTGCTGTAATATGCGAGGTAATTGCGGGTGCGACTTCTGTGGTGCAGGAGTTGGTGGCAGGAGCCCATGATGTTTACTCATCGATGATGTAGCAGACGAAGACCCGGAAGTAGCGGAATGAGAACTGCTTGAAGCATGCGAAATAATTGAACTTCTTTCAAGCGGCAATTTAGGGCCAGAATGCACAATTTTTGGTGGCGGCTGTGCAGAATATGACTCATCTTCAGGCTCAGATGTAAGCGAGTTAGTTTCTGAAGGTGTGGGTGATGGGGAAGGTGGTGAGAGCGCTTCTTGCTCTTGCAGATACACTCGAAATCCTTGTATAGATTCGTTTAAAGCCCACAACTGTGACAACAAAGACAAATCCAATTGCCGTAAACCATACATTTCGCGCCTTAGTATGGCTAGTTGCGTATCCAGCTTACTATTGGACCCCGAACCAGACGTACTTTCACTATCAGTACGTGTATGATTGTGAGTATTATTATTGCTGCTGTTGTTCGAACTGTGGTTATTGTTAGTAGGAGTAAGCAATTGTGTGGAGTGGTGATAATAATGGCTGCTGTGAGTTGATGAAGCTCTACTATGTAAACTTTCGCGATCGCTGAGGGACTCTTGAGTGCTTGATAAACTTCCATGTCGATGGTTAACACGTTGCCGATGAGCAGCCGCTGCTGAGGAAGTGGATGCACCCAAATAAAGCTCGCCATCCATAGTTCCACTTAAAAAATGTTGATTTACGTGACTTAGCGGCGAGCCACTGGCAGTTCCACTTGCTGTTGCACCTACAGCAGCACAAAGGCTCTTTGGTAAAGGCGGTAAGCCAGGCAGTGAAAGTTTACGGTCGCCCTCCATTTTGTTACCGTTTGCTTCAGACCTATTTATATTACTTTTAAATATATTCGACAATATATTTATTTTATTTAAATTTTAGTTTGCGTTTTTTGTTGTTACGCCTTTACATATAGATGCGTGCACGCTTTCCCCCCTAGTTTTCTCTTTTACACAAAAGGCTGAATTGTTCAATTTTTGTCTTTTTCCTTTGTGTGCGTTTGGTCGCGTGTACGCGAACAGACACCCGTGCTCACAAAGCTTTTAATCAATATTTCCTTTATACATGCTTCTACGATTTCAAGTCTTTCTGTTTTCCGTTTTTCATAATTTTTTTTATAATTATATACTTCATATCCTACATTTCACAAGATTACACAAGAATTACATTTATACTTCTTTTTAGTTACTTCTCTTGTCCTTTTTTTTCTTTTTCTTCTTTCCACTCTAATGTATATTGAATTTCCAAGGTTGTCGGCACATAGGGCACTGTTTATTCATAGGTTGTAGATTCAGCCATTTTACAATGCAATGCATGTGAAAGCAGTGAGAACATACGCCCCATACTAATGGACAATCATCCCCGGGCAGTGCGCACTCTGGACATGTACTTTCAAAGGACATGCGACAAATGCCGCAATTTTCATCATTTGCTATCCAGCGCCAAGATGCAACACCCATCCATGATTTGATTATCACTTTCATTTTGCATGCATCAGTAATGACGACGAAGCAATGATGGACAGAGAAGAACAAATAATTCCGAAAAACTTAAAGGAAACAAAATTTCAATATGTTTGACTTCGCAAAATTCTTTTAAATTGCCTCAATAACTTTATAATAATTTTCTGCTAATAACATGTATACCCTCTAGCAGTTAATGAATCAAATTGATTATAACACAGATTTCAAGTTTTTCCTATTCAGCCATTTTTAGGTCGAGTTAGTAGGTTGCCAGCATATTTTCTTATAAAGGGGCCACGGAGTTACCACATTTAACAAACTGCTTTAAGAATTTATTGGTCACCGCGGAACTGCAATGTATTCAGCAAAAGGGTTATTGTAAAAAATTAAATTCATAAAGATAGAATGTGAATGTACGATGTTCACAATTAAACCTTTCCAAAAGCATTCTTCCTTGCTTGAATGCACTCATTGAATTCACACCGTAGATTGTGGTAGATCATCACCGCAAGCACCACTCAAAGTCGATGTTGTGTTTGTCTAGAGGAGAACGCTGCCATGAAAAGACGTTACCAGATAAAACATTTGCGATTTGGAATAGCTTGGAGCTTAAGGAGTACATGCAAAGACAAGACGGGCGCAAGCAGGATATTCGTTAGGGGCTGACATGACTTAGCTTCACTTGTACTCATACATCTGGCGAACATGTTTAATCGGTAAATTTTATATATTTTACTAATGTATAAAATGATGTAACATACTCTAGCTCCTTTTTTTGTATTATATTATATGGAAATAGATGTTCACTGTTTTCCACAAAGGGTTGACACAATACGGCATCATTTTCGTTTTCGGGCCAAAAACTACCAAGTGGTAACTGCAATGGGCAGCCGCGCTACCGTATGGTTTTACCGGCAATTGCGAACAAAAACATATGGTTTTAGAACAAAAATAAATAATCGAATAAGCAAAAAACAAAACAATTTTGTTAACCTTCATCATCTGTTTAAATTTTATGACTCCATCGAGAGCCTTTTTGTGACTTAATTGATCCCTAATGTGGAAATTACTATTTATGACTCTCTAATAACACAAATTTCAACTTTAAAATTAATGGTCTTTACTAGTTACGCGTTTCGGGGTGGGATTTAATCTTTTAAGCGCTTATGCGGCTTTGTGGGAATTAGTAGATCGTATGGGTTTCTACGCGTATAAAATTTATTTTAAATTCAGAATTTATTTATCTAATTTATGTTTATTTTTTACTAACCTAAATCCTTATTATATTATATGATTTAAAATTTTAGTTTGTACTCCATATTTTATAAGGTCCGGAAAACAAGCAGTAAATGCAGTTTATTTTCAATTTAGTTTCAATTTAGTTATACATTAAAAACTAGTATAAAGTCTATAAGAAAAAGTAAAGGAAAAAAAATAGTAGTAGTAATAATTAAGCAGAAATTCATGCATAAATAAATAAGAAGGAGAAAAAAAAAGGAAAAAAGCATGTACACAGCTAGCACGGAAGCACACACGCAATCAGTACAGAACCAAATTTCAAGTCCACCTCTAAGCCATCGCAAACCGCTTACCAACCCATACAGTAAGCAATAATAATTAATTTTCGAACCACAATGAGATATTAAGATTAAAAGTTAGTTTAAATACGACATAGACAAATCGCGCCTATTAAGCAAATCTGATTTGATAGACTTTAGAGAATCCGATATTGAGATTAACTAATATACACCATTTAGGTTTCCGCAAACAACTTTAAACTGGGTAAACAGCTCATAATTATATTTACATTGACTCAGCTCAATGAACATAAAGTGCCTAGGGAAGCGGTTGGGTTGATTATCTCACCAAGTAATTTGGACGATTCGAGAGTACAATTAATTAACTTAATTAAGAAGGAGACACCAAGAGAAAATCTACGTAGTGACGGTAAGGACAACAGAAGCAAGATATTTTCATAACGAGGCAAAGAGACAAGCGGGTCACAACCCAAATTCCTAAAAACAAACGGCAAGAATTGCTTTTGAATTGGATCAACTGAATCTGCAAAACACCTTTATACAACAAAGAGATTCGAGATTTCAATATCATCGGAGGACTCAGACCCAGTCAAAGACACATGTGAAGAATCTAGGGAGATTTTTGTTTAAAAATTGACAAACTTCTATCTAGGATTAGCAAGCACTGAGGATTTTATCAACCGAAGGTATCGGCAATAATATTGGTGGTAAATTGTCTCTTGTTGTTGCTTTTCATATATACTTCTCTATATTTACGTTGGCTTCTTCATTTTTATCACTCGAATTTTATATTAGCTATATAACTTCACACCGATTTTTTTACTTTTTGTCAAGCAATATGACAAATAAGGCTGGATTTCCACAGCCACGGAAATGAAAATAAGAAGATAAAATTTGGCAAATATATTGTTCCATCGATAAGAACTGTGTGCGCTTAATCTGTGAAGAACAGTTTATAACATACGATCCCTTGGAGACATTTCCAAAATACCATCCCGCAGCTGTTCGTAGAGATCGTTTGTTCGGCCAAAAATGATCTAGATCGGTTTACTAACACGCCGTTTAACGATTAGGTTGTCGATTTTTTAGATGTATGCAACGTTCGACAGTTTTGAAATATTTTCGATACTCTCTTACTTTTTCAACCCGGCGGCAAATCGGAATATCGTTGCAAGTGATTGAAAAAAGATGCGCAACACAAATGGGGCTGGCGCACAACCCATATGCGAAGTCCCATCGTTTGCTGGTCGCGTCTTTGTTGTTGCTTATTAACTGTCTTTTTATTTTTAAAAAAAAATTGTTTTTTTTATTTTATTTTTTTTTTCAATTTTGGTTTATCACACATTACGTCGAAAGATAGACGACACTGCGTGTGGGACATTTTTGTCAAATGTTTTCTCTGAAGTGCGACGTGCTTCAGCACTGGCGGCACTTTTATGTTTTTATGTGTGGCACTGAACAACATGAAAAATTAAATAAAAATCAATGAACAACATGAAAAATTGAATAAAAATCAATGAACAACATGAAAAATTAAATAGAAATCAATGAACAATGTGAAAAATTGAATAAAAATCTATGAACAACATCAAAAATTGAATAAAAATTAATGATCAACATAAAAAATTAAATAAAAATCGATGAATAACATGAAAACATCATGAAAAATTGAATAAAAATCAATGAGGGGCATGAAAAATTAAATAAAAATCAATGGGGGGCATGAAAAATTGAATAAAAATCAATAAACAACATGAAACATATAATAAAAATAAATGGCAAATAAGGCAAAACGGCGAGAGAAAATCGTTGAACACAAAATACATACATAACAACTACTTCTGAGAAAATTTGATTAATCGGATTGGTGTTCTGGATTATGGTCTATACTATATTTTTTATTATTTCGACGGAAAACTCGCTCTCCTACAGGAAGGATAGTTATGAGCTTTGATCGCTATCGATTGCCGCAAACTGTTGATGTAAAATGGAACTCTACATTCCAAATCCTATGAGATACAAAAACTGCCAACGCCTGGGTCATACCGCAAAAAGACGCAACAGTGCTTCATCGCGTGTCTTCCTCGACATGCTGAAAGCTGTAAGCGTAGTTTCTGCATTATAGTGAGCAGTTAGACAAGCAATGCCCACGTTGTATATAAATGCGTGAAATTCTAAAAATGAGAAGAAAAATTATTGTAGTATGGGTAAAGCGCGACGCAAATACCAGGAAATAAATCCAACTGGAACCCAAAGAAAAAAAAAGTATTACCTATGCTGCTGTCGCCTCGCAAGTCGAGCGTAATAAGGGAACTGCAACTCCTTCCAATGTCAAACCTGTTCTACTATCAGCCAAAAACGATATTGCGAAACCAGATCCATCATCTGGAAAAGATAATATTGAAAAACTCAAAGCAAGGGAAAATGTTAAAAAAATTAAAACAACAACACGTATCCTAAAGTCTAATAAACTAAATTCCCCAGAATCAGCTCTCAACTCTAGTCAACAAATTACAAGTTGTAATGAATCCAATCTTTCATCCCTTAATCAACCTTCAATTCCAAATTATTAACGTGCGCCCACTCGTTGCACTTGAAATGTACGCAACCACCTAAGTACAGATTATTCTGCTGATAAGAACAAATCATTCACGCAAAGTTGTTATAGCGGCATTTTCGACGGAGACGCTGACATGTCAACTTAGCCCACCTACCACTCCGTTTCCATGTCACTACAATTAAAAAGTTTTTAAAATTCTACAATGGAAGGGACTTATTAATAATTTTGATGAACTCCGTACACTCATAACTGATCTTAATCCGAGCTTTATATCCCTTCAAGAGACCCATTGTAGAAGTTTTTTAAGACCATTCCACCCAGATCGTATACTGGATACTTAACGAGTGCTGTTCAAAATTCATATTCCAAACAAGGAGTTGATTTTTATAAGATCAAATATACCTCATAATCGCATTAATTTAAGCTGTAACATAAAGCAACTATAGCGTTCTAAATAATCTCAAACATAACATTTACAGTGCTTTCGCTCTCTATCCCATCTTCGAAATCGTTTTCTCAGCAAGAACTCTATAATTTATTCTCCATACTTTCCCGTAGTTTCATTAATTATATGCGGTAACTTGAATAACTGGAATACCATCTGGGACTCATCAGGGAACAAGAGTCGTGGTACTGTTTTAGAATAGGCCTTCATTCAAAGCAATGCTCTGCATTTTAAACGATGAAAAGCCAATGTACTTTTCAACTTATCACACCTTATCACTAACTGATGTAACATGTTGCTCACCGTCACTTCTTCCTTTGTTCTACTGACCTATTTCTGATGGTCTACATAATAGTGTTTTCTTTCCAACCATAATCGAACTTAACTTTTTAAAACCTTCTGTTACTCCAGCAAAACAGGCCAAATTCTTCCTAGATAAAGCGGATTGGATCGATTACACCAAACAGGTCGAATCATTTTTGAATTCAAAGCCATTTAACGGGAACTGCAACCATGATGTTGCTATTATGTCTAAAGCAATTCGCACGGCTGCTCATCTCTCTATTCCTCAATCCAACAGCTTTTTTAAACGAGCTAGGATTCACTGGTGGAACAACACGCTTCCACAAAAGAACAAAATGTGTCTATGGCATCGCTTTAAAAAATGTCCTGATCAT